TTTGATGTATACATAATGTTAATACTAATATTATTAGTGTAATCCCAATGTTATGGTTAAACAATAAACTGATGACGTAAGCGAGATATTAATGTAATCCTGATGGTATGGTTATGGAATAGACTGATAATATATGAGATGTAAGTGTAATCCTGATGTTATGGTAATACAATAAGACTTATGATGTAAAATACTAGAGGGCACCACGGAAGAGATATGACGTTGAAAAGTTGAGCTCACAGATTTCTGAATATTATATCATTTTAATATTATAATTTGTAGTAATTTGAGTTAAATAAAAAAATTAACTATACTTAGTAAAATTGTTAAATAAAAGTAAGGCTGTCAAAGTTTAGTGGTGTAAATTATACTACGTGAAATTAGTATGTGTAACGGTACTTTAGGCTTAGCTACAATTCAACCTACTCAATTACTGGTAAATTGTAAAACAGGTTAATACATTGTTTTATTAAATAAATACAATTTAAAGACTAGTTTAGTGTTTCCTCGGGTTTATATATTAACTCTTAGATCCATTAGTTTAAATTCAGCTCAAAGTTATATGTATTAAGGTAGGTTATAATATAATTATAAATCAAACTAAATTAGTAAATACATTGTACTATTAATAATATCTTGCTGATATCATCATGATAAGATTACACTCGTATGTAGGTACACATCATGTTTTCTGTATAACCAAAACATTGAAATGTTGTTCATTATACCAAATATATGTATCTGAAATGAACAGGATTTTATTAAAGACTGGGTGTCAAAGATTTTGTGTAAACCAACAGTTTCATATTATACAACTCTTGAATAAAACTGTGCATAACAGATATGTTAATTCTCATTTCTGGTGGATATATAGCTCTCCATACATGGCTGAGATTCTAAACTAGATGAAAGGAGCATGTTTGTTATAGATTTTATAATGCATCTAATAAATAAGAAGTTTGTTAGTACATAAATACTGTCAACTTGAATCCAAACAATGCTTCTAATAGATATAAGTTTATTTTAGACGATTTCCTTTCTAGGAAATACATCCAGTAGTTCTCTTTGAAATTTTGTGAAATTATACAATGTCTTTATTTTTTTCCTAAATTAATACCTTTCATTTCATGTCTTTTTTTTCAACAGAAATAAAGTTTCTATTAATTTATTCACAGTAGTTTTATGTCTATTTCTACAAACAGAAAGTTCATATTCATTTTTCCACACAAGTATGTATTATCTAAATAAATCCACATGAATATTTCATTAGATGATTGAGTTAACTAAAAAAAAATCCTTTTCTCTCTTGAAATTTTTATGGATTTATTACTATTCCTTGTAGGAAAGACACATGTTCAGTGAAAGAGAAAAAATT